ACTGCAGGATGGCCTATCCTCATAAGACCTGTGTATAACAAATCCCCCCGCCAAATTACCAGCTGTTACGTAAGCAACATGTTATTTCTCGCCTTGACGTAGGCTATTTGAACAGCTGACAACTTAGTTATGACGTCGGAAATGGTAACACACCAATATGGCGGCGATTACCAAAAACGAGGCCGATAAGCACTCCTTAGAATACTATTTATTCTCCTTGGATACACACTACTGTGTACTAGTACACCTGTGTCCTGTATGGATGCGTGCAAGGATGTCTGGTGTAAAAGATGTGCTAACTTCTCAACAACAGATGTACGTGCATTGATCCAGGTTGCCAAGCGCACTCTCCCGTTTTTTTGTGCGGATTGTATGGACTCCATCAAACAACTTCCTCTGCTTAAGGTTGAAGTGAAGGAATCGATTAAGGAGGTTCCACTGCTGAAGGATGAGTTCAAAAAACTTCAATCTGAAGTTAATGAAATTAAAGAAAACTTGAATAAAGCAAAGAGCACATATGCTGAGGTTACCAAAATAATAAATGAAGCCGAATTGATAAGAACAGGTGTTAATAAACTCGAAAAAAAGGTTGAGGATTTTAAATCCCAAGACAAAGAAAACTTGGTTCCAGCTTGGTTCCAGCAATTGATGAAATCAGTGAAAGAGCGAAACGGTCCTTGAATATAATTGTATTTGGGGTTCCTGAAATAAAAAATCTGAACAAGGAAGAACGGAATATAAAAGAGAAGGAGGGGGCCGTATCAATACTAAACTCACTAGATGAATCCGTACCCACTGAAAATATCAAATTGTACAGATTGGGAGGATATGATTTAAATAAGGTTAGACCTATAAAGGTTATGTTTGAAACAAAGGAAGATGCTTTAAAAATTTTAAAGAGCAAAAGTAAACTAGATGAATCGAAAGGAATATATATCAAGGGCGATCTAACTCTCCTTCAACAGAAGTACTTGAAGGAAGTTGTAGCCGAACTAAAAGCCCGAAAGGAAAGCGGTGAGTCCAACCTTAAAATTAAATACCACAACTCTATTCCAAAAATTATAAAGATCAAGCAAGGTCCAAAAAACTAATAAGCAACAATCAGGGTAGCAGTTTGGAGATTGAAATCACTTTTTGGTACAGTAACTTGCAATCTATTGCCAATAAAATAGATGAATGGTCAGTATCAATACAGAAACATAATCCTGCATGCATCTTAGTAACAGAGACTTGGCTTAATGAGAACATTGTTGATAGTATTGTTGGGATTGATGGGTATAGTGTATTCCGCCAAGACAGAGAAAATCAAACTGGAGGTGGAGTGTGTGTTTTGGTTAAGGATGAGCTGAATGGACACAAAGTATATTCTACAGTAGACAATCAATTTAATACATTAGCCCCAATACAGTCATTGTGGATTGAGATAAAGATCTGTAACATCAAATTTCTGGTCTCTTGTATATACAGAACGGATTATTCTAGTGAGGAAAATGATAATATTATGATCAACTCAATTAAGCGTGCCTGTTCATTGGATATGCCCGTTTATATTATGGGGGATTTCAACTATCGGTATATAGATTGGAAGAATCTTAATCTGTCCAACCCAGACAAACAAAATCGACTTTTTTTGGACAACTATCTTGAAACTAATGCTTACCAAATGGTTGATTTCCCAACACGTTTCCGAAATGACCAAGTTTCACTACTTGATCTAGTCTTCACCAATGATAAGAAACTGCTATATAACTTGGAACCCGAGCCACCCATAGGAAAGAGCGACCATGTCGTCATCATTGGAAAAAGTCAACTAAAGTGTGAACTGCGTCCAACGAAAACTGTATTGAAACGCAACTTCTTCAGTGCCGACTATGAGAAAATCAATAGTTTTCTGGCTGAGCAAAATTTTGCTGCCTCGGGTGATGTGTTCCACACGTGCATGTCAGTCTTAAGCAGTGCTATAGACAAGTTCATTCCTTTGAAACCATGTAAAACAAACCCACAGAAACCGTGGCTAAACCAGTTCATATTTAAACAAATAGAAAAGAAACGAGGTCTATGGGACAAATACAAAAAATCAGCTACAGATGACAATTACAAAAAATATCGCGAACAAAACAACTACCTAACAAGTGTAATTAGAAAGTCAAGAAAAGACTATGAATGCAACATTGCTTCTCAGAGCTCAGATAAAATATTTTTCAAGTATGTGAATAAAACACTATCAACCCAAGTTTCAACAATAACATTAAAGAATGAAGCGGATGAACTTTTGACTGACGACTTTGATGTAGCGGAATGCTTTGCAAACCAATTTGAAAAGGTATTCACCAAAGGAAATCAAAACGAAATGCCACTAATTCCGGAATACCTACGTGCAACTTCAAAGATGTCAAATATTGACTTATCTCCTGATAAGGTGTATGAAGCAATAAAATCGTTGAAGACGGATTCCAGCCCAGGCCCTGATGGAATTCCAGCAGTGTTCCTGCAAAATTGTGCAGCCATCCTGAGCCAACCCTTGTCTGATCTCATGAAAAGTATTTTTGAAGCTCACAACTTTCCTGAGACTTGGTCAACATCGTTTGTGATTCCAATATACAAAAAAGGAGACAAAACCGCTCCATCGAACTATCGTCCAATAAGTTTGACAATCTATGCAAGTGTATGGAAAAAATTGTGGTGAAACAGTTAACCCCATTTGTACTGGAGCAAAATCCATTACTGAAGCACCAACATGGTTTTCTTCCAGGGCGTTCTACAACAACCAACCTTACACTATGCTTGGACGATTGGACAAGGGACTTTGACAATAACGAGCAAGTGGATGTGATATATCTCGACTTTGAGAAGGCGTTCGATAAAGTGTGTCACAGTTATCTCCTGCACAAAATACATCACTTTGGCATTGCTGGGAACCTATTACAATTTGTATCAAATTTTCTATTAAACCGATGCTACCAAGTAAGAATAAATGCAATCTTTTCAGACAGAAGAAAAGTGCAGAGTGGGGTGCCTCAGGGATCAGTACTGGGTCCTCTACTTTTTTTATTGTATGTCAGCGATATGACATCTAATATCCAAACCAGGGTTTTACTTTTTGCCGACGACACGAAATTGTATGCAAAGGCCGCAGAACACAAGAAATTGCAAGAAGATCTCAGAGCTATAGAAGTGTGGTCCAATACGTGGAAAATGAGGCTAAACGAAGAAAAATGTACTATCTTGAGCATTGGAACCAACACCACTGAGTATGCCTACAAAATAAACAATGTCGAGCTGAAGCATGTGAGGGAGCAATTGGATCTAGGTGTCATAGTAACCTATAATCTGAAATGGGAGATGCACATATCAAAAATTGCCAAAAAATCCAACTCATACATATACCTTGTGAAAAGGGCCTTTGAAGACCAGTCGTGCAACACCATTATGAAACTGTATAAATCTTTCATACGTCCAAAACTAGAATACGCCCACTCAGTTTGGAATCCGTACTTCATAAAGGATATCGAGATACTAGAGCGAGTGCAGAGACGAGTAACAAAAATTCCACCATCACTCCGTAATGAAGATTACCTTACTCGACTATCCACCCTGGGACTCACTTCTTTGAGGGAAAGGCGTCAGAGAGGAGATCTGATCGAGACATACAAGATTATTCGAAATGGCTACTCCTGTAACCTTGACATCTTCACCTTCAATAACAACCCCCATCTACGAGGTCATACTTTGAAGTTGTGCAAGGAAAAAACCGCCAAGCTTCCAAGAAGAAACTTCATAGCAAATCGAATTGTCTACCCATGGAACAGCCTGTCAAATTCTACAGTCACCGCCCAGAGTCTGAATTCTTTCAAGAATAAGGTCGACACCGATATGAGTGCATTACTCCATGTGGATATTCATTATGGACAATAAGTTCTTACCAAAAACACGACGATAAACTTACAAGTAATCCAATAGTTTCATCAGTGTAAACTGCTTACTATTGTATCATAATAATAATAATAAAATAATAATAATGGAAAATCCTCATTTTTTGTCGAAAGAAGTAATGACGTCATTTTTCAAAAGGTTCAAAACAGATTTCAAAAACATTATGAACCGCTGGGGTCGAGAACAAACACATTTAGTTATGACGTCGGAAATGGTGACTCACCAATATGGCGGCAATTACCAAAAACGAGGCTGATAAGCAATCCTGTTATGTGTTATCTTTGGGTGCGAACGGCCATAAACTAGATATATATTTGGACAGGCCCTACGATTCTCACCTTAAAACTATAAAAATAAACTTAGAACTTCTTTTGAGATATAAAAAATAAATATCTTTTAATATTCGAGCAGAAAATGCATAACAAAACATATAAAAAAAGGTAATAGAATTTTTAGAAAGGTAAAAAGGTAATGAACTCCTCTAAAAAGTAATAGATCTGTTAAATACAATTGTAATAGACTGGCAACACTGACTTGCAACCTCCAGAATAGGTTGGCTGTTCACATATACTTGTTTAATCAATAAAAGAATATTCCCTCAAAATTTCAGCCTTGTGGAAGAAGGTTATGAATTATTATCCCTATATCAACTTTGCCATCTTCTGGCAGGTACTTGCAACCCTTAAAATAGGTTGTCAATTTCTTTTTACGCTTAAACATTATGTAAATTAAAATATATAAAAATTGTAGTCTTGTGGGAGTGGGTTTTTTTTGAAGAAAAAAAATACATTTTCAAAAGCTTGAGAGATGAATGATGATGACGCAACCATGAGATGCCTGCTAGAACGGTACTTTCTTAATTAACCGATAATAAAATATTATTTAAAAAATTTCTAGCCTTGTGGGAAACGGGTTAGTCAGATGAACCGCTAGCTCTCCTTCTATATAGGCAAGTTAAGGAGACAATATAATACTAAAGTATGTTGTATACCTATTATATTTTTTGCTGTACTCTTTCCTGTAAATTCAAGGTAAAGTTATACCTAATACGAGACCTAATATCTTACTCACTTTAAATTGTGCAGCAAATCCCCTGGCAAATTCTTCTTCAGCAAAAACTTCCAAAACATTTTCATATTATCGGGCTCCTCACCCTGTCCCGTAGTCGAACAAACAAAAAGGGCGCAACGTTCGTCGACAATCTCCGCTACATTATAGTCGTCCAAGGCTTTCACAGAACTCTGAAAATAAAATCGTTTCGATTCTCTCCACATTCGTTCGGCCAGATCTTGCGCGTTTCCAGTTTGAGATCCATAAAAAATACTAATTTTCGCATTTTCGAAATTCATTTTCGATTTTGTGTAGCAGAAATTTTACATGCAACTTACACAATAGGTATTTTTATTTTTTTTTAATTAAATATGAAAAAAATCTATTTGGAATTTTCGAAATAAGCACCTTTAAACCTATTCACTATAATCCCTACCAGCCAAGCCAAGAGGAAATGTTGAGCGAATGGACATGGACAAGTGGAATGGCTCTGGGACTTCTCTGAAACTTTTGAAAGTAAAAGTGGACTTTAAGTTTGAGGTTAGAGTTGGCACAGCTGACGAACTGTCCAAAATAAAGTATAGCGTTTTTGGTTGGTAGAATTGGTGCAAAAAGGCTGATAGAAACTTTGTTCGGGGATGAAAAAAGGACGGTTCTAGAACGGTTCAAAACAATCGCACAGTAGTTGTATTCCTTTCAAGAGTTTGAACCACTCGAGCTACTCGCTCCAGCGTTCAGACGCTCCCGATTTGCAGGGAACAGATGCGTGGTGCAACAAAAACTTTTCGAAAGGAATAAGCGCGTGAAGCCCCAGAGCTGTTCCGGAGCTCTTCCTAGGTGTGAAAGGAATACAACTAATTTATTATTGAAATTTGTGATAGCCGAGACACGCCGAGCCGTCATTTCGTTGATTGATAAACTGTGCGATCGCGATTGTTTTGAACCGTTCTAGAATCTTCCTTTTATCGAACCCGAACAAAGAGATCAGCGAAACAAAGAAAGTAACAATGAAAATACACTCAGTACGGCGGACTAATCCACCAATCAAAAACGCTGCAATTTTTCGTCCGGAAAACTCGGGCTGCGTTCAGGAATGGCTACAGCCAAGTCAAAATTGGCATTTTCCGTTCGAGTTCGGCTCCAACCTACGTGGTTCAGCATTACAGATGGAGGGGGGAAAGTAGGTTTTCACATTAGAATTGCCGTCCTTGAACGCACCCCAGGAGATCGTGAAAACAAACGAATTATGAACATCCGATACGGAAAGATTCCGAGTCGAAGGTAAACTCGAAGCGTATACGCATCGTATTGGACGGAAAAGCGATTACGAACACACGAATCGGCTTTAATCAGCTGTCCGCGATCAAAATGGTAGAATGCGAAACTTTTCGCTGGAGGTGACGTCAGCTGCAGTCCTTTATTGTTGCGTTTACTATGTAAATGCATCATTCATCATTAAATGCATAGAATTGTTGGGAAACTTGCAGTATTTTTATGGATTATGATTATGAATATCTAAAGATTGCAACATGTGACGTCATTTTTGGTTTGGTTTTCGCGCTACCAAACCGAAAATGACGTCACAATCGAAGAGATTCTACCGAATCGAACGGTTCGTTCCTTACAGAATAAGGCCCCTGACCCCAGCCCCTGTTTATTTTGTTTTTTTTTAAGGTAAAGGCTGCTATAGATGCTCCGTCATAATCTACAACTATTGCATTGCAAACTATTAAATTGTACGAATCATCGCAGCGTTAGTGCTGTGTGCTGATTTATCTCAATGGGCGGTTACACACGGACGTGGATGTCTTAATACATATACGTGCATACATCAACGTGCAAACAACAACGTGCATGGCGCTTTTGTACAGACGCTCGCACAAAACTGCAATCTTGCTATTCTTGCTACAGTATTCCGAGTGTGCATACAAAATTGCACATTCAAAAACGCGACGGTATTGTGCATACACATTGATGTTTTTGTTTGCACGTTCATGTATGTGCGTACATGTTTTCAGACATCCACGTTCGTGTGTAACCGCCTAATGGTGCTGATATTCGACAGACTATCTTTCGAAAAGTGTTTGTTGCACCCCGCATCTGTCTCTTTAAAATTGGGATTCACTAACACTGGAGCGAGTAGCTCGAGTGTTCCAAACTCTTGAAAGGAATTTTACTTTACCGCAAACTATGCGCTGAAATAGCTTTACCCGTGAGCGTAAGTTGACATTTCTGGCGCAATCACGTGATAATATGGTGTAATTTTGACTCAATGAACTATAGTCAAAAACTGGAATGCGCACACATTGGTCGGGTTCATCAGGACGTAGCGCTACAGTAGCGATTATCAACAGTGTTGCTAGTTTATTACAAATGTAGCAAATCTATTACATTTATCAAAGGTTAATTATTTACATTATTACAATTCCAATAAATCTATTATATTTTCACTTATTTAAACAAAAATTATTAAAATTAATGAATTCCGCTTGAAACACTGAGCGCTCGGACCATTTTCCATCTTTTTTTCCTTTTGGTGAGAAGAACAGGGATAAAATTTGCTATATTTGTAATTATTTGGGAACACTGCTGATGATCGCTATTGTAGCGCTACGTCCTGATGAACCCGACCATTGCCATATCTGCCAAAAAAATGTAGCCATGAAAGACAGATGCCACAAAGGCATAGACTAATATATATAGGGGGTAAATAGACTGGGCTCTCCAAAGTTACATGTCGTATTTTAGCGCCCTCTGCCGACTAAGAGTGAACTATAAATACTAGTTCATTCTTTCTCCAAAAGATGGCACTTTGTTATTGATAGTTCCCTGTAATTTTTTCAGTAACTCCACAACCCTCTTCAAACAATGGTGATAATGGAGGTCCCGCTGCCATATTCTTGTAAATTTTTGATATGAATAATATGATATAAATGTCTTAATGCCCCTCGGATATCCATGTCTATTATAAAAAATTAAAAATAACGTATTTGAATTTTAGTCAGAGAAATACGTTACCTCCAAATTTTGATGATAGATATCCATTTATATCCAATAATTCCTATGTATTCATATTTGAAATTTCAAAAATATGGCGGTGGGGCCTCTATTCATCGTCGCCACTGTTTGCAGACTGCAGAGGTTTATCGAGTCCCTAGTTTTTCACAAGAATAAACACAATCAAAAGACAATTTAAATTTAAATTTTGAAATATGGCAAGGCTAAATGACAATGACATTTCCGATAAAGGATTCGGTACACAGAACATTCGGTATTTATTTCATTTTCACTTTCATAACCTCAGTTTTATAAGACCAGCAGAACCATCAGCGGTCACGAATGAACTAAAAAAGCTGGCTCAAAGCGGTAATATGAGTGCGCCGACCATGCACAAAGGGGAATGTTGTTTTTTTCTGTTGCTCGCTGACATATGACGTTTTGGAGTTTTGTCATATTTACATTGTATTTACCTTCACGTATTCATCAATTGGAATACGTGTTGGAAGCAATTTCCGCCATTTAACATAATGAGTGCGACAAAAACAGGTATCCCCTCCGCAGCAGCGGCACTAGGCTTCACGTTCCTCAATATGTGTTCGCATTCCAGTTTTTGGTTATAGTTCATTGTTTTGACTGGTAAAATATCCAACATGGCGACTATTTTACCAATAAAACGCAACCATTTTATCACGTGATTACGCCAGAAATGTCAACTTACGCTCATGAGAATTCGCCCTGATTGCTGACCCTTTCATCTTCACCGCAGTGTTGCCACAGGTGGCCCCATATGGCCAGATCTGGCCCTTTCTAAGACGGAGTGGCCCGTTGGCCACTCTTTTTCGAATCTGGCCCGTTTCTCCATAACAAAGCCAAATCATAATTTTTTCATGCAAAATAAACGTTTTTGGGCGTGGAACCCTGAGGCGGGCTTTCTCTCTTTTTTTTTTTGTTTAAAATGAGTTTGCCCGAAATTCTGAAGTCTGGCCCCATTTAAAAATATAATCTGGCACGAAATTTTCAGAGATTGTGGCAACACTGCTTCACCGCTTTGCTTGCAGTCTACTTTACGACTCCACAACCGTAGCCGCTTTCCAGTATGCACATTGGCGCGCTCTAGAGCACCTCGGGGGCGCCACGCACTAGATTTGTACCGTTCCAGTATCATGGCGTGAGACGCCTTTCTTAGTGTCAAATATTTCAAATTTTAAAAATAATAATTGGTTGAGGTTTTGTTTGGGATTGGATCGACAACAAACTAACCAAGTTTTAAAAATAATCATCTGTTTATTTGTGCAGTTTGTTTTTTTATTTATCAAAAATGAAAGAGAATCAAAACTATATATTTTAAAATGTTGAGATATAACAAGAAATAAATAGATAAATAGCCACTCACGGATGTGACAGCTAGGTTGACGCGTACGTATAGCTCGGGAGCTCAACGCCCCGAGTAGCTCCGGGTGTCACACTCCCATACTGGAAAGCGGCTCGTGTTGAACCTTGAACCTCCCAAGGAATGAGAGTGATCAGAGTTCACGGAGTAATCAAACCGAATTTACTGTGCTTGCTTTTAGAATTTTGCTCAAAGCGTTCTGTGCTGAATGAAGCGGAGCCGGAATCACTTGACCAGCGAGTGCACAGCAGTTAAACGGTGTCAGAGCGCTGGAAATTTAAATTAACGAACGCAAATGTGTATGCACCGAGCACACTTTTTAAATAAACGAACGGTAAATTCAAGCTCGGAGTTTGGAGAACTATCCCTGGTGCGTACGATAAGTCCGAACTACTGACACTTTTTACCCTGCCCCGTCATTAATGTCGCACTTTTTACACTATTCGTACCGTTCAGCGTTCCATTTTCCGGTGTACTTTAGATGGTTGCGTTCCAAAACATAACTACACCGCACTAACGCTAACCGGTTCAGACAAATCGTACGCACCACCCGATATACCGAACGCGTTTATATTTATGACATTTGAAATTGACATATGATCGACATATTTGTCCAATTTTCATTTTCCAAACAAAAACAAATGTTGCCTCCAAGTGCGGGTTATTGAAATTTATTCCAAAGTTGAGTTGAAAGTATCCAAGAATAGTTTATTTTGAAAAATGGAGAGTTTATTCAGCATGTGGAAAGTGCGCGAAATTGCGGACAAGGTGTAAGTTGAATATATATATATATAGTTTTTCAACAAATTGTTTACATATATTTTTCCCTGTTTCCAGAACGAATGTTGTTATGAACTATACAGAAATCGAGGCCAAAGTGAGGCAAGCGACCAACGACGAAGCATGGGGCCCCACTGGGACTCTAATGCAAGAACTCGCACATGCCACATTTACCCATGAACTCTTTCCAGAACTCATGTCTATGCTTTGGAAAAGGATGTTAAATGATAACAAGCAACATTGGAGAAGAACTTACAAGGTAAATAAGGTTATTTAGAGTTTCACTCACTTTTACGCTATAAATTTTTTCTAGGCTCTTTTGGTTTTGAACTACCTCATTAAGAACGGTTCTGAACGTGTTGTCAGATCATCAAAGAAACATTTATGTGATTTGAGATCATTGGAAAACTTCACAGCCATGGACGATAATGGGAAAGATCAGGGTCTAAACATTAGGCATAAAGTAAAAGAGTTGATAGACTTTATTCAAGACAATGATAGATTACTGGAGGAGAGAAAAAAGGCTAAAAGGAATAAAAATAAATATGTGGGTATGAGCTCTGATTCTGATATGGCTGGAATTGATTTTGGTAAGCATGAAGAATCTCTTACATTCATCCGAGCATTCATCATTTTGGTTTTTATTCATTTATTTTTCAAGAATATAATAATTGTAATAAGGTAGTACAAACCCTGCAAATGTAACAGTTTTCTGCAATTTGAAATTGGCATATTTCGATAAAGTAACTAAAAACAATTATCTGTAACCTTACTCTCAAAAAACTTTTCTGACAATAGGTAAAAAATGAAACTCTAAATAAAATACCAAAATACCTAAGCACCTTATTGTTAATACCACAGTTTATTTAATATCTTTACAAAGCAGTAATTTCAGTGTTCCAGTTGCCACTAATGGCACTAATTATCACTTGTCAGTAGTGTTGTAAAATGCTCAAGAATTTATTTTTGGAGAATGTTCTCCGAGCAACAACGAGAATGAACAAGAATAATGAGCATGAAAAAAATTTAAAAAAATAATAAAAAATGGAAAAATATCTGCTTTTATTGGTTGATCTATAAATAAAGGGTTTCTAGGAGATGACGAACTTTGTGGAAACCATCGATTTCAAAACAAAAAAACATGAACATATTACACTTTTTTCTATACATTTTCAATAGAAGTAAACATTATACTAATAGGTCTGTTCACACACAAATCGCAAATTAGTAAGAGTGAATGTCATTGGTTGAAACTAGTTTTCTGATTGTTTTCAACCAATGAAATTCTCTCTAAATGGTTTGTGATTCCTGTGCAAACAGACCGGACCAAGGACTGGACCTGTTTAATTCAATTCAATTCAATAGGCTTTATTGTCAAAAAATACAGGATTTTTATAAACAAAGCAATAGCAAAAATAGTGAAAGGTAAATGTTACAATAGGGACATAAAGCTACTTGAAATAATTCGCCGGTATCGGTATCGGTATCCGTAACGCAACTAGATACGTTGACAAGCGAAAAGGCTGTTAAAGCGCTCCCTGTTCCGGTAAACGTAAACGCATCTCATAATCTAGAAATTTTTGTCTCAAAACTCCGGCGTTTTTATATCTAACCTTAAAATTGTTATTTTTTTTGCGATAGAGAAGCACAAGAAACTGAAGAAAGTATAAACTAAACAAATTAAATCAACCCGGAAAAAAAGTGAGGTTATATTCATTTAAAATTTGGCACATGTGTCAGGAATGTCAAGATACGTTACCGATACGGATATCGTGAGAAGGCCGTAACGTTACGTTGTACGTACGGTATCTCGGCCTCCGTATCGCTTCTGCACATGCGCAGTACGATACCGATATGGATACCGAGCAAAAAATACGGAAGCTTTATGTCCCTATACTTAAATGTCAAATGCTTAGCTTGTACTAGGAAGTGTATATAACTTATAAAATAATTATTAATTATAAAATACCTAAAATAGTTAAAATTCTTTGGTGATAGTTATAATACAAAAAACAAATGAAAATAACATAGTCAACAATAACACAATAGAAGACATTTATTTATTTATTTATTTATTTATTCAATCCTTAGTCCATCTGATACATTGGTATATTGGATGTGTCGATTACACTAGTATAAACATTAAAGCTATTACTATAAATATTAAATAAATTTGAATAAAATGTCAGATTTATAAAGATATGCACATTAAGTACATTTGTCGTTACAATAAATTGATTTTTTTTAACAAATTACACAGTACTACATAGCATTTCACGCAGAGCAACAAATAACAAAATATTCAAAATCACATGAACCAACATTACAATACACAAAATGATATTTAAAAGTTTACATTAAAAAATTGATTGTGGTTGTAAAGAGGATTATCCATAAGCACAGCTTTAATCCTATTCTTAAAACTATTAAAACCTTGGATGTTTCTTACATCTGCAGGAAGATAATTGTATGCTTTTGTAGCCATATAAAGTGGAGATGACTGAAATAATGATGTTTTGTGAATAGGGATTGTTAACTTTTGAGAAAATCTGGTTTTGATTCCCTTGTTAATTTCACTATTGGTTTTAAAATAACTTTGATGTTTTCTAACAAACAACAATACCCTATAAAAGTATAAAGAATACATGGTCATCAGTTCGTATTTTCTAAAGATTGGGACAGCATGTTCATTCCATTTAGCTCTATCCAAGACACGTATCAAGCGCTTCTGGAGTAAAAACAGTCTTTCAATTTTAGATGTTGATCCCCAAATGATGATTCCATAGCTGATGCGACTCATTACATGTGAATGGATGTACAATAAGGTTGTTTTTGCATCTAATTCTTGTTTCAAGTTTTTTACAGCAAAACATGATGTCGCTAGTCTTTTAGCAAGACTTTCTATGTGACTCTCCCAGGTAAGAGATGAGTCAATGTGGACTCCTAGAAATTTGGTACTTTTTTTATTTGGAATGTATTTGTCATTGAGTAGTACTACGGATGGTGGATGGTCATTATTTTGCGATCTTACGTTCTTAAAATCAACAACTACAGACTTTTGAGGGTTTAAGAGGAGACCATTACAAGTGCACCAATCTGATATTTTTGAAGATGTTAGATTTAGACTAGCAACCATATCGAAGTGATTTTTGTGATGTTCGGTTGAGCTTGTATCATCAGCGAACTGATGTAGTTTATGGACCTCATCAAACATGTCAGAAAGACTGTTACAGAAAATAAGAAAGAGCAAGGGAGAAAGGATTCCGCCCTGAGGGACGCCATATTTTATGCTCTGGGTAGCTGATCTAAATTGTTGGTTAACAATCTGACCATCCCCCCCTGATATTTGTACAAACTGCTGCCGATCTGTCATGTAAGAAATAATCCACTCCAGAGCGGGTCCTCTGATCCCATAATTCTCCAGTTTCTCAGCAAGCAAAGGTGTGTTAACTAGATCAAAAGCTTTGGAAAGATCGTAGTATATTCCTGCTGTGTGATGTTTTTGATCTAGGTACCTGTATATTGCATTGATTGATTCAAACAAGGCTGTTTCAGTAGACTTCCCCTTTAGAAACCCATGCTGAGAAGAAGAGAATAAGTTATTTTTTGTGAAGTATGATGTCAACCTAGTGTACATGATTTTTTCAAAAACCTTAGAAAACACTGACAGGTTTGAGACTGGCCGGTAATTACTAACTTCACTTTTTTCTCCTTTCTTGTAAATGGGGATAATTTTAGCGATTTTTAATATTTTTGGAAATTGGCCTTTGAGAAATGACATATTAATAATATTTTCCAAAGGAAAGCACAAAATATCAGCAACATTGCGTATTATATGACACGGAATGTTGTCGGAGCCACTTGAACGCTTTTTGGTAACCTGGAGAAGTACTTGATAAACCTCCTTATATGAGGTTGGTTCAAGAAAGAACGACGTACTTGTCTTGGATAGGCTCTTGTTCTCAATGTTCTTTGCCAACTCATCACCAATGCCATTTACTGAGGTCAAAAAGTAGTTATTATACATATCACAAAGAGTTTGTGGGTTTGTTACAACAGTGTCATTGAGAATAATTGGTTGCACATCAGAGTAGTTACTAGAGTTTTTCCCGTTCTTTTTGTTTATTATTGACCAGGCAGCTCTACTTAGGTTTGATGATTTTTTTATGAAGTTTGAATTGTAGTCTAGTTTGGTTTTTTCTAATAACTCTTTGTATTTCCGCTTTAACTGAACATATTTGTCTTGTACATTCTTGTTTTTAGTTCTTTGAAACAACCAATGCAAATTTTTAACTTTGTATGACATGTTTTTAATTTCTGTTGTAACCCAGCCCCTTGAGTTATTTTTTAGTTTAAATAATCTTTCAGGGAATTCCTTATTATAGGCTGACAAAACAATACCATGAAATTTGTTAAATTTTTCATCAACCTCATTGGCATTATACACCTCGGACCAATCCTCCATACTCAGGTTCTCATAAAAGGATTTTTGATTTTCTGTTGAGAATATTCGTTTTATAGTTTTTTTTTGGTGAGTTTTTTGACTCAACAAGTCCTCTATATCGACAGATATCATTAAGTGGTCTGAAAACCCTGTTTTTAAGAGCAAATTATTATTACATTCATAATTTGTAAATATAAAGTCCAATAGAGTGTCCGAGGATGGTCTGGTTGGTTCGAGGCTAGTTGGCTTCAATCCATAACTCAAAAAAGTATCCAGAAGTAAGTTTTTGTTTTTATTATTTTGACTTTCGCTACAATTAATATTGAAGTCGCCCCCAACAAATACAATCTGATATCTCTCTGTCAAACAGTGTAAAACTAAATTAAGTTGGCCAAAAAATAGCTCGGTATCACTAGTGGCTCTATCAGGGGGGTGGTAAATTGATAGAAAAATGGTTTTTTTTATTGTTAACTTGTAACTCGCAAGCTGTATACTCAAACACGTGCTCTGTAGAAGGTATTTTAAGTGATACCCGTTTAGTTTTTACATTTTTTTGTGCAAAAATTGCAACTCCTCCGCCTCTGCTAGAGCCACGGCAAAACGAACCCACCAGGCAATAGTTATCAATGCTATACTGCTGGATTTCCTCCTCCGATAGCCAATGCTCACATATGCCCACTATACTAGGTTTTATTTCATCTAGAAGAGCTTCTAGTTGCAAGTTTTTATTGCGTATGCTTCGAGCATTCAGTTGGCAGATGCGTATTCCTTGGCCATCACAGGAAAACACTACCTTGGACTGCGAATTATTTTGAGTTTCCGAAAAAACTCAGGACTTATTACATTTTGGTAATAGTCGTGGATAGATTTCAGATTACCCACTGATGCAATACTACATGATTTATCAAAGTCATCACAATTCTGACTGCCACGAGCACAACTAGAGGCCTTTTTACACCTATGATCACTAGCGCCAATCACACTTTTTCTTAAAATGTTGTGCTTTCCTAGTTTTCCTGCTGAACTGTCCCATGCTTCTGCCTCCCCAGAATCAGCTGATGTTTTCCGTATGACAGTATTTTTGATGTCTTTAATTGGGCTAAGATTAGTTTGAGGTTTAGCACTTGCTAGTTTTATATTTCGATG